GGGGGGGTTAAACAAACCATTTTCACTACTTACTCTGACAACCCCTGACAGAAAAAGTCATGGTAAGACACACTCAATTCACTTCATTTTTTAAGGTCATAAATGGTATACTTGTAATGGTCAACATTGCATCATGAACTCGTTGGTCAGGTTATGAAACAGTGGCAGAAGACGAGACACAAAACTGAGAACAGGACAATAAAATGTTTTGCCAGAACAAGGAAAAGCCTTCAGTTTAATTTATGGAGGTTCGTCCTCACACACGCAGTCCCACATCCTGGAGCTGTAAACATGTTAACGTTGTTTCGGTCTGGCTGTGAGAGGAGATGCACAGGGCAGTAACCCGCAGTCTCTAAGCCAGCTTTCCAAACACACCGCTGTAGGTGTTGATGGTTATCACATGTGTACACACTATCAGAACCACACATTTACACTGTACGTACAGTGCCTTATATACTTGCGGTGTTACAGTTGTTAAAAAAAACCTCACAGATTCATCAAAATCATTGACGTGCATCAGCCCTGTATGCTTCTGGAGACAACTGTAAATCTTAGTTTTTAAGTACTGTTCATGTTGTATTGTGAACGCTCTCACATGTAGACTAAATATATTTTAACAGCTCTGTCAGACTAGCCTCAGGAGACTCCTTACCTCTGCAAAAAATGTTACGTTTACCCAACTCAAACTGTCCCTAGAGCCCCAGCCAAAACAGCTGTTAAAGTGCACTACCTACCAGCAAGCAGTCTCTTCCTCTCGTTATATGTCCTCGTTTTACTGCAGAGACATTATCTGTGTGATACAATAACTGTAAAACAATTAGTCTCCCATCCATTTGGTTTCTTTGCCTGCTTATTCTTGTTCAGGGACTATCCCCCAGTATTTATTGGGCGAGAGGTGGGGTACACCCTGGACAGGTCGCCAGTCCACAGGGCCACGTAAAGACGAACAAGATAATCAGTGGCGCTCACTCAGGCCTAGTGATAATTTAAAGGCACTGAATAACAAAACTGAAAGACCCCAGCTAGGTTTTGATCCCAGGACCTTCTTGCTGCATGGAAACTGGACTTCTTTTTATTGAGAGCATTGTCTTGAAACTCTTTGGCCTATATGTCCCTGCGGCATGACAGATGGCGACTAGTCTGCAACTCTAAATTGCAAGAAAATTGGTATTTTTTTCTGTTGCAGTCTCATTATTTTCTGAGTGTTTGAAACCAGCGAGTTATACAACCGAATTTTTAAATCACAATCTATTTTTGTGTGAATAATTTTTAAACTGTATTATAGGTAATGAACATTATTTCATTGTTCATCTTCGTCCACATCATACACACCAAAGCCTGCTTTGTATCCACCTTGGCAGCCAACCTTTATGTTTATGGTTTATTTCTATCGGAGTACACGTTTAAGGATAGGCAGATTTGGGCCTTTTTTACATTTATCATTAGGCCAATAAATCAATTAATCAATCGCATGATAAAATTTATCGACCTCATTTTCATTTATCGGCTGTATCGTTTCTTCGTGTCTCTCTTTCTACTGAAGACACTGTTCAACTCCGGAGCTCTTCACTGAAACCCCTC